ATATGCTTAGCTGGAACAGAATTTCTTGAAAGCAATTATTGTCGTCCCATTTGGCTGAATATACCTATAAACATACCAGAAGTATGCAAGACTAGGAAATGCTGATATAGACTTAATAGTTTGGGGGGGGGGTGGGGTTATTTGGTAACAACTACTCTGAGTCTGTGAATTTTTTTGCCATGTTAGCTATATGTCATCTGTTCCCAATATATATATTTTAAGTGGAAAGAAATTAATAAAGTGGTCTATTCAGAACAGATTATTTCAAAAAAAGAAAGCAAAATTTGGGAGTGAGATGTCTCAATCCTTTAACCTCTTTGAAGGGTCAGAGAATTTGGAGAGCCTTTTCCAGAGCAGATAACCCTATGCAGTATTTCAGGCCAGATTAGCAAGCCAAGAGGTGGCAAGGCAAGCTCTGATGCCAGGATTGGTCCTGGCTCTCTTCTGCCCTCCTTCCCTGCACTACTGAGCTTTTAATCATATTCCTGGGCTAAAAAGAGCAATTACTACAACTAGGGGGGGGTTTACCCTGGGAGAAACGGGGTGTCCTGCTTTGTCTCCCTAGCATGTTGAGGCATTTCAGGTTACTGTTACAGGGGTTAAGTGGGATAGTCTGGGACCTTCAGGAGTTTCCAGCAAGTTGCATGCTGGCCACTCACAGCTTAAGCTTTTAGAGGAAAGTGTCCGGGTGTGTGACTCAGGTGGTCACAGTCTGCCTCCTATGGCATCGGTGAAGGAGAGGAGCTGGCTGGCTGCTGACCTGCAGTAAAACCTCAGGCCCAGATAATTCTGCCTCCTGCTCTGAACAGGAGCAGGTGAGGTGGGGCAGGATCTCAGGTGGAAAAAGTGTAGCAGCAAAATTTGCCACTGAAGTCGCTTGGACTTGGATTTCTTTTGTTATAATGTGTATATTTCTCCCCATATAAACACTTCCTTTTAATGTCCAATCTTTTGCGTAGATGTATTTGGCCCACCCTGCAGCAGCCTCATTTCTCTATGCAAGGGCTGTGTCTGGTTTTACCACCACAGCTCAAGGTGGGTTTAGCAGCAAGAAGGAGTTAAGTGAATAAATATATGTGTGGTTTTGTAAATGTGTTAGTGCCTTTTTCTGTTCCAAATTCCCTGAGGGAGACTCTTTCCCTATGGAGCAACCTGACTGCAGCCATGTGAAAGAACAGCAGCTCCTGCTCCACTTCAGCTGCAGGAGGGGAAAGGTTTTTCTGATTGTAAAGATCAGGCTTAGCTGGAGAAGTGGGAGAAGAGAGAAGAGGAGGGAGGGGAAATGAAAAGAAAAAAAAATCCAAGCCTTTGAATGGCAAGCCTGCACTTCTAACATGTGGCCAGCATGTGCCATACAGGCTTCAGAAGGCAGCAGGAGCACAGGTGAGAGGCGCTGGCTGGGCAGCAGCAGAAAGAAGCATCCGAGCAGGATGGGGGATTCCAGGAGCCCAGGAAACAGAGGAGGTCTGGAGGTGCACAGGTCACAACAGACAGTCTGCTGGCACTCTGCAGCAAGGGCAAATGCATGGACTGTGCAAGGTATGTAATTTTTTCACCTCTCTTAGTTTTGGCTTGTTACGTTATAAGGCAGAAGCAGGAGTTTACTGAGTTATGTGCTTGCTGTATAGCATTACTGCATTTATGGGGTAAGAGGAGCTTTAGGGGATTGTTTTTTAGTATTAGTGCTTCAAGAGGATATATAAAAGTTTAGGTTTTTGGGGAGAATTTTTGAGTGTGGTGTTGTCTGTGAGAGAACAAGGCTGGGAGCAATCCAGCAGAGAGAAAACTCAGAGATGCAAATCCACCACTTCAGAGAAAACTGCAGAGAGAAAGGGAAACCTTTATAACAGTGGAACAAGTGCATAAAAAAAGTGGATGCCTGACAGGAAAACCTGGGGGACTAGGGTAGGCAGATTTAAGATTTAAAGTTTACTCTTCAGGCCATTGCCTCTGCAATGCTCTGAGGGACTATCAAGCCCCTTACAGTCCTCTTCACTTGGAAAAATTGTTCCAATGTATACAATTTAATTTCTATATTGCTAAGAGAGGGTGCATGTGTTTGTTTCTCTGCAAAGCATATCCAAACACCTGGGAATGGTATTAAGCTTGTGTCTGGAAGATTGTCTATGAATTCATAGTTGTCCTCTTGTTTCCAACTTCCATTCTATTAGGCTGCTAGAGTCTCCTGCAGCACGTCTCAGGCTACCCTTTCCCTGCCTTGATGTTGTGAAGTTCTGTTGAGAGCTATATACTGTTTTCCTTTGCTGTTATAAGATTGAAATTTTTGGTACAACTTAAAAGGTATGGAACCACAGCAAAAGTCTCTTTTTTGGATTCTTCTGGTTCAGCTGCTGGTTTGCTGTCTGTTGAAAAAACAGGCAGAAACAGCCTGTGCACGGATCATGCTGTCAAACACATTGCTGTACTGCTGCAGGGTTAGTGAACATTCCTTGCATTTTGCAATGATCCCTGGTGTTGCACTTACCTTGAAAGACATTTCTTTGAACTCTGGCTGCTTTTTCAAGTAGCTTTTTTTGTTTTGAGTGGAAAATTTTCAGGCAGTTTTTTCCCCCCTTCCAAAAAAAAGAAAAACCCAAATGAAACCAAAATTTTCTTCAAACAAAAGAGTTATGGCTTTGCAATTCAAGAATTTAAAACTACATTCACTTCTCATACATACACCTTCATGCCTTCATGGGTATGTGTGTGTTTATATACATTTTCATATCTAGGTACATATATATATCATTGATATATACACATACATGTGTTTTTATGTGTTGCTTTTATTAGACATTTATTTTAATGTGGCTACTAGAAGTGGTTACGGTGAAAGCTGTTCCTAACTGATATGACTAATGAGATTAAACAAAATCAAAAACTTGGATAGCTTCTATTCACTCAAGAGCGCTGAGTTGTTCTATTTATGAACTTTTTATAGTCTAGCTTAGTTTTTCAGCATCAGATTCTGTGTGTATTATGCTTACAGCTGCAGCATATGCTCTCTTACAGATAAAAATGAAAATTAGGCTGGTGGTTTTAGTTTGGCAAAATGGCCTTGCAGTGGTGAACAGATAAATAGGACAACTAAAAGTCTCTTTGATGTGATATATCTGTATTGTTTGTGTTTTGTTTTTTTCCGTCAGGAATTATCAATTCTGTGTACTTGCAAATGAGTTTGTGGAATGATTTTTTATTAGCAAAAGTGAAAATCAATGTTTATAGGAAATTAAACTGCACAAAGGAGTGATTGCAAGGGTATTTAAAAAATCTGAACATAAATCTTTATGAATATTTTCATTAATTTATTGACAGTTAAAAGCAGCCATAAGTTTCAAATCCTGTGTACACAGATATATTTTAATGCTCCCATTTTCCTGAACCTTCATGATAAAGCAGTCAAGCACTATGGGTTAATCACAGTCTTTAGTCTGTGGGTATCTGTATTAAAGCACATCCAAATTACAAGTAGGAAAGCTGAATAAAACCAGTGTCCTTTTAAGTTAGCCAAGCAAAGCTCCATATTCAGTGAAATTGATGGTCTCAAATGTGCTGAATGATTGCAAGAGAAATAGAACAATATATTGGCAGCTAACTCCCTAGAAAAACCATCAATTTATGTTTAAAAAAGCCATGAGCCAAAATTTTATATAAAAGAAAAGATGAAAGTAGGGAGAATGCAGCTTTTTTTTTAAAAAATGTGATGTATACTGCAATGCTGTGTAGTATTGAACATTATTTTACTACAGTTCACTGAACATTTTGCAGTGACATTGAGCTCCTTCTCTGGAGTGGACACACTTGAAGGTCCTTGATGTATGGGTCTGTCTGTCTAGTGGGAAACTCAAATAACTCTGAGGGCACACACACTTATTTAAAGGGGATTATTTCCTAACTCCTAGAGGCTCCTCTTCTGAGACAACTAATGAAAAATCTCTGTTCTTTTGTTCTCTTTTAAGAGATTTACCATTAGAAAACTGCTGCTCTTCAGGTGCTTAGTTTGATGTTTAGTTACAATAAGTGACGGAAATGTGGTTAGAGCAACTGGAATGACTCTTGCATTAGATACTCTCATATTGCTCTTGCAGAACTTAGGAGCCACTTGTGCGTCACCAGCTCCATTCAGGCCTGCTCTGCTGTTACTTACTTGGTTTTCTGCAGATGAATTCAGGGATTCATTGCATAATCATGACCGAGGTCTGGGTTTCTGTGTTGTATTTCAGTTCTGGCTTGATGCAGCAGCCAAGACTACATCAGACTTGTAGTCTTGTTGTGAGTGTTGCCATAATGGCCTGTGGGTGCTTGTGTGACCATCACAGGTTTGATTTGTCTGCATTTGAAAGTCCAGTTTTGTGGATGGGACATTTTGTATTCAGATGCTCCTAGTCTTGCAAGTATCACAAACATGAGAGTTAAAAAGTAAGAAACTACTTGTAGGAGAGACATATAGAAGTCCCCTTATTTTGCAGTTAGAGATAATTTTTTTTCTTTTTCTGTAGTTTGGGATGGGATGCAGGTGAAGCAGCAGAGGTAATATAATGTGCAGCAGACTTATCTCGTCAGGGTATCTCTCCTCCACAGTCTTGTGGTACAGTGTCATAATAAGCCCTATGGTTTTATGTCACGATGTCATATACAGTCATATCCATCTTCTAGTAGGATGGAATATGAATCTTCAGAAAATGCAAAAAGGAAATCTGAAATAGACATAAGAAATCCTAAACCACTGATTGATGGATAAGAGAATTGCTGAGGACCATAGCATAAGAACAGAGAAGTGCATTGTTACAGTGGGATGGCTGCTTCCCACTTCCTGTTTTCCACTGAGGTCTAAACCTTACAGGGGTCAAAAAAAAAAAAAAAAAATCACAGCAAGTAGGTGATTCAAAAAAAATTAAAAATTCAACATGATTTCCACTTTTACTTGAGAAACCTACAGATTGTAATATATTAGTTCCTGCAGAAATCCAGGTATGAGAAAGACCACCACAATCTGTGAATTCATACAGAAATTAGAAGGTTTATTTCATGTTAAATATATCTTGTCAGTACAAGGAGGCCACATAGTGAAAGTATTCTTTCAGCATTACACCAGCATTTAAGAACATTGCTGATAGTGGACCAGAACAAAATATTACATTCTTTTCCAGGGGACAGACAAACTTAATGGTCAAAACAGGAACGAGTATTACCTTACTATAGCTTCCTTGTCCAAAATTACAAGCTGTACAATACAAGGACAGGGGTTTTAACTCCAGGTTTTTATTGTCAGGTTCTGAAGCTGTTGGCCCTCTTGCAATAGGACTGCTTCGCTGGAAGAATCTGTGTGTGTATGGGAACCCTCGCCTCGGTCTCACTGTCTCTGAAGATGCCTGTGTTCCCATGTGTCAATGTTTTGCTATGCAGAATGACTTCTCATGTCCATTGTCCTGTCCAGCATCTCTTTCAATCACTCCAGTACCTTCTTACAACAGTAGTAGTCAAGAAACTTTGAGTCAAGACTCCACAGGTAAGTGATTCTTTGTTTTTCATGTGTCCAAGCTTAGTTTGGTCAGCAGTTTTCATGGTCAATATACACAGCTGTTTCTGCTGCCAGAGTGCTTTGATTGCTCCTAAATAAGGATCAGATCACAGAAACATCATGAAAGGGTTTATGCACAATAAGGGTTTATTAAGCAATAATACCATTAGCGTACGTTTTCTTTAAAACTGGTAGGCCAGCTGTTTGATGAGGGTGCATCCATGTTAGCATATGGAGGCATTTGAGGACAGTCTCTTCTGTGCCTGTCATAAAACTTTGCATGATGGAGGATGCCCTCATATGTCTGTTGTGTTCAAAATGCTGCTAGCACCTGGCTAATCACAAAATAGGGTGTACAAGGCGCATTCAGTTAGATCCATGGGAATGCACTTCTGCTCCCACCCTGTTAAAGGGCTATCAGAAGCTGTCTGAGGCAACAGCACCATGCTGATCATTGGTGGTGTTCTTTCCTACTGAGGTTTGAAGGTCTCAGGGTCTGATGGAAAGATGACAGTTGGTAAAGAGTTGTTATGTTAGGACAAGTCACGACCCACAGTCTGATTCCATTTGTGTCTGGGAGTTCTTAATGACAATGATGATAGGAAGTGGGTCAGTGAAATTTTCTGGCTATCAATGAGTCTCTCATCTATAGCCTTCCCAACTGAACCCCTGTAAAAGGATTTTAATTCCTGCTGCCTAAGTTGTGTTACTGAGTAAAGAATTAGAAGGTTCTTCCTAGGTGCCAGGTAAAAGAATATATGGAGAGAGAGGTATTAGTGGATCCAATATTGAAAGGCATAATGCTGGAAAAGTCTAAATATTCAGAAAAGTCTGAATATTCTATTCATACTTAGAGCTGCTATGAATAGCTAGTGCTGATCGAGTTCTTAAAATTGTAATGATTGCTGGCAACAGTGGCTGAATATAATCCGTAGTAAAAAATGATAGTAAAATATGTATATTACTGTGGTTTGTATTACTGCTCTTTTAATTTTAAGTATTGCAGTACATTAATGTAATTTAGTGTAACTGATGAAGACATTACTGCATGTTACCAAAAGATAATGGGCCTGAAACTCTGTGGTGGTGCTGAAATCAACTCAAAACCCATTTGGCCCTTCCCAGAAGTTTCTGATCTAATGGCTCATCTTCTGAACCTGTCTGGATACTCATGGCAGCTGGAATACCAGGTTCCAGCACTTCAAGTACCATTCCTAATATCTGCTTTGATGGTGACACTTGCTAAGCAGGAGCATTAGGACAAATGCTGAGCAGCTTCAGGAAGGTTAAATGTTATGGCTTTCATTTATTTACCTTTTTTCTGCTTCCAGTTAAGAGCTGTGTAAATATGCACCTCCTTCTTCAGTGGAAGTTTGATTGTATTAACTCTGTGACTATATTCTGTAGGCTGAATTTGCATCTTGGTTTACATCACCATCTGTTTTACTGATACAAGTACTGTAAGACACTTAATATTTTCCCACATGATGAGTGACAACTCTGGTTTTAATTTGAAGTGGTTTTGGGACAGTGAGGTGACAAGCGAGGAGGCACTTGACACCTAGAGGTTATGTGGAGAAGGGAAGAAATTTTAATGTAAAATAAAAGAAAATAGTAGTAGTATAATAAAGCAGTAGTAAAGCTTGATAAGAACCTGTTGGTATTGCAGAACAATTTCCCAGTTCTAAAGTACGGATTCATATAGCCAAAGACAGCATTAGGATATTATATTAGCAAGCCAAGTACAAATGCCCTAATTTTCACCCTAATTAAAAAAGCTACAAGGTCCTTGAAGAGTTCACACTGAGATGTTTATGAAAATGCCATGCTGAAAATCAGCATGGCAGCATGGTGCTACTCAGGTGGCAGTACATGTTGGCACTCAAATAATGTCCATTTTCAGCAGGGCAGGGTGGTGTGGCTGTTTCAAAGTACAACTTCTAGCACAAGAAGGTACACTCTCCATCTTGATCATTAATATCTTAATTCCTTTATCCAATGAAACAATTTATAATCTGTGGGATTTTTTTAAATCTAATTTTTAAATCTAATCCTGTAGCAGAGTAGAGGGTACTGCATGTAACCAGGGTGTTCTACCATTACTGCTCAGGGGTAGAATGGTGTTGTGTCAGCAGCTACTCCTTAAGGCTGGATGTCATGTCTGTAACTCCAGTGTTAAACCCTATCCCCGGGCTTCATTATAACACTAGTAATGCAAAGATTCCTCGAGGGTTTTAAACTACATCAGTTTTCAGGGACTGTCTTGCCATGGATGAAAAGCTTGTTTGCAGCATACAGCACTTCTATGGAAGCTCAGGCAAGAGTACAGTGTCAGCTGAAATGGGGGAGTTCTTGAAAAGACAGAGGGTAACTTAGAGACAGATTAATGAGGCAGGGTAAATCTTAAAGTTATATCCACACTCATTTATTTCCAAGACACTTGATCAGATTATTTATGAGAACTTGAAATGCAGAAGAATGCCACAGGCTTACTGTGCTTCTTGTCTGTGCATTTACAATTAAACTCTCTATAACATTTTAGTAGCAAATTCTTTAAAAAACAAACTATGCTAAACCACCAGTATATAATGCACTCAACACACACATCATAGTTCAAAAGAATTCTTTTTTAACTACTGATGGTGGAAAAATTCTGTCTGCTTCCATTTGAACAGGGCATGTTTGGGATCTTGTAATAAACTGTGCATGGTGATGTTTGAGCTAGATTTCAATGTTCAAAATAAGATAACAACATAGAAAACCTCCGTGTATTCTGATACACAGTATGAAAGACATAAATCTGCAGATGGTTTTAGTGGATGCTTTGCCTCCTACTTGAAACATTAGTCTCAATTTACTGCTTGTACTGCTTTGTAGCATTTTGCAATGCTAGATAAATTAGAGAGTAGTGTCAAATTTTGTCCTTGGATATAGAAGTATAATAGACACCAGAATTAATCAATTTCATGGACTATGGAACAGAGTTTTAAAATTTCTAGTATTAGTTGTGATTTGAAATAATGGGGTTTTGAGAGGATTGCTCTGGTCAATAAAAGCCAGGCTTCTGTTTAGAATGAGACAAAGCATGAGTTATTCTTTGCTCATTTTCTAACCTGAAAACTTTGTGAGGGAGTACCAGAGAGGAAGGTCATTATGGTAAATATTTCATAACTGCATATTGGTTTTTAGCTGAGTCAAGAAGAGTTCCTGTTGATTAGCTTTGTCTCTTCTTATGATCATTATTCAATGCTTAATTACATTGAACACTATATTCCAGAATATTCAGAAGATTTGCTAGACAACACCAGCTGGATTGAGATGAATAGATTTGCACTGGGTAGAAATGAGTCAGGAGCTGAGCAATACCCGTCAAATTTGTGTCAGCTACAAATTTTAAAGAAACACAAAATACCATAATTCATTAAAATACTGGATATAACAAGAAATCTGTGCCTTTTTGAAACGTATTCCATTTTTCCAATAATAATCTGAATAATTTCATTCAACTGCTTTGACCTGAAATTAGTGCACCTTCATCTGAACTGTATTTCTCTTGTTTGCTCATTACAGGGACCTGTCCCCTTGTATGCTAGATCAGCTGTTTTGAAAGCAATTATATTGATTTGCCATGAATTGTTCCTGACAAATATATCAACTTTGTTAAAATCTTGTTTTCTTCAAGGTGGTTAAAGACAGTTTAATATGTTGCTTACTTCTAATTTGTCACTATCTCTTTTCAAATATTGATGTTTGGCGGATTGGACTGTAATTACCTGAACTACTTTACTTGACCATCTTCACTGTTACGGGACCTTACTCTATCCTTACTTCAATGGAATAATCCCAAAAATGCATTCAGGCTACTAAATCCCAGCAAAGCGACTGAAAGGTAAAGTAGGCAGTTATATTATTTTCCTTAGTCTGGGCCTGGTCCCTTGTATGTGAATGTCCAGAACAGAGCTATTTCAGGAGAGCTTGTATTTCACAGCAGGGACAGGGAAAATGCAGAAGACTCAAGATGGACCCTCCTCAGGGATGCATTTGAGCCTGTTAGACAGAAACACACACTTTGGAAAAAAAATAATATGATGGTCATAATACACAACTTTTGCAACCATAAGGTAAACCTGAAATATTGTTCCAGGTTTATTCCTCAAATCTACTGGAAGTCTAACTGCAGCTCATGTCCCCTCTTTTATTTACATTAATTCCCATGACCACTTCATTTTATTTTGCATGTGAAATCATGGCATGAAACCTTTGCCTTTTGTTACTACACCGCAAGACATTGCAGCTGCTGTGAATGCTGTATTTGACATAGGCAAAAATATAATTATTTTTATATGTATTTATTGATTTGTAGGCAAGGGCATACTTATATGTATTCTTTGATTCTGCAGTTGTCTTGTCTTGTGCAACTTTTAAGTTTTAAATTGTGTGATGACAATGAAAACCCATATAAAGACATAATTTGTGATGTTGCCTGCTTTCTAGTGTGGTACAGGATTCCAGTTAAATCTATTTGATAAGGTAGATGCAAAGGAAGTAGATCCAGTGTTGACTGGAATCTGTAAAAGGAGTTATATTGGCCTGTCTAGGAATTTATTTGTTCCCCTGAAGAAAAATGATACTTAAAAGAATTATAATGTGAATAAGGCAATGATTGAGGGGGACATGACAACAGTCTTGGGAGGGGGAGTGCTAAACAGGAGGAAGATGAATAGTAGAGTTTTCCCAGTATTGGTTTGGAAACAAGGTTAATATTTTTATGAAGGATTTTTGCCTGGAAAGGAGGAGTGCATTGATGAGATGCTGATGAGTCTAAGGTAGGAGACATCATTACTGCAAAAGGACATTCAGAATGTCAGGCAAGAAGAAATTGATGGCTTTTGGGAACACAATAAGGGAAAAGTTATGGAAAATAATGGTGCAGGTTTTGCTATTGTGCATAGCAGGATTTTTTCTTTTTCTCCAGTAAGCTGTGAATCCTCAGCAAGAAAGAGTAGAGGAAGATAAATTCAGCTACTAATTGGAAGTGGGCTGCAGCTATGAAAAAAACAAATGGAGGCTTGGGATATTTCATGTGAAGTATTTGCTACAGAGGGAGAGATAGAAGATTTTTACCTAAACTGACTGTTTATTTTCAATGAGAGTAGAGATTTACTGGAGCTTAAGCAGAGGAAAAACTACCAGAACAATATGGGAGAAGAGAGTAAAAAAATTTTACTATGTTTAGACTCACAAAACAAAAGCCATTTAAAGAGAGAAAAATCAAGCAGTAGGTTTCTGTTTACTTAATAATCTAATGTTTGCAAAGTTTGGGGAAATAGCTGAGTCTGAAGAACAGGCATCTGATCCATCCATTTATCCTGACCAGCAGCCTTCAGAGTCTGAGGAAACTGCAAAATGACCCTAGAGATGCAACTACTTATTTTAACTCTTACAGTTTGCATTCCAGTTGCAAGTCTTGATATGGAGAGGTCATAAACTGACCAACTCCTGGGGATTCTGTACAAAAGTTGTACAAGAAAGCCACAAGATGGTGCTGACACGCCTTACTGTGGTTGAAGGCCTCGTGAGAAATTTGGCAGAATATGCAGCGGCCTGGGTGTAATGAGACAAAATTTCCATGGAGTTTGGTGTGTATTAAACTGCAAACAAGTTTAAAGCAATAAAGTCAGTGGACACTTCAGGTTGCAGTTTGTTGTTAAGCATTGATTTTTGGTAAAAAGTCCTAATGCATTCTTAGTATATTGGAGGGAAAGAGGGAATGAAAAGAATTAGAAGGATGATGGTTATTTCTGAGGTTGTAACCTGTTTTGCTTTTCAGTTGCGGAGTGATTGATGAAATGATGAAATTGAGAAGTAGAAAGAAAACATATTTGTTATCTCTGATTAGAATCCTCACTTGAATTTCAGTGCTTTTTAAATGCCCAGGACAAAATCTACCGTGCCCACAGCGTTGTTGACTACTTGTGGTTCTCTACCTGTTTTCCTTTTGTGCTTGTATCAAGGCATGGGCCGTTTTTGGAGCATCTTGAAAGGAGTGAAAGAGAGACAGGTTTCTGCACTTTATTGCAGTCTAATAGAGAGCTCCTGGTGGGGTTTGTAAAGAGGAAAAACACTGTTAGCAAAAAATGTTCCTCAGAAACTTTGCAGTCAGCTGTACCTGAGAAACAATGTTGACAACTACATAAACTTGTGTCACTGCCCTGGGAACAGCCTGCCTTCCCTACCCTTCTCTCCTGTCTGCCAGCAAAAGCATCACGCCTCTGTTCACGAATCATTGTGGCCATGAAGAGGGGAGGCTTACCCTTCTTAATTGTTTCATTCAGCCACCAGCAGAATCTTTCACTGTTAGGAAAGGCAATGATTCACTACTTTTCTCAAAAATGAAGGCAGTGCAATTTTGGAAGTGCTAAGCACTATAGAGTTCCTTTCTTCCAGTGCTATGTCATCTTTTGCTCCTGAAATGCAGCATATGCATTTTTCCTTTTAATAAAATGAGACTAAATGTGTTTAAGTTTATACCTGAAATGACTGAAATGCATACTACATTCAATAATTATGATAAGTTAGGATCTTACAAAGAATGTCCTTGCTGAGTCTTGGGACAGAGTGCCATTAAATCTATACTTCCAAATATCTAAGTGCATGTACTTAATCAGTTTCAAAACTTTGGCTACCAGTAGAATTGCTTTTATGATTCAAAGTGTAATATTGTTTACTCAAAATTCTGGCTGACATTAAGTGCACAGACCATTCTAAAACACTCATGTTTAAAAGGAAGAAAATAAAACCTGTCAAACTTCTGTACTCTTCTGACATTATTGTAGGCTCAAGTCTAGGAGCTGCTGAACTTCCTGATTCTGATCCAGCAAAGCAATGAAGTGGATGCTTAATGAACTTGAAAGTTGTGCCATGGAGATCAATTTATCTGCTTCTCTAATTATTCTTACCACTTATGAATGAGAAACTAAAATCTGCCTAAATACAATGAGCTGGTAATTCCTGTAAAAATGTATTTGGAAATGCCAGCCAGCACTGATCATGCTGTTGGTTCAAGGCATTTAAAATTGGCAATGCTAACACTGAACTGCCTCCTGAACTGTTGTACCAGTGTGCTTCAAACTTGTCTTCAGAGAGCATCCTTAGAGCTGGAAGTGCATTTACTCTCCTGTGTTCTCTTTGTGCTAATTTTGAAAATAGCTGCAAGACCTGACCTTCCTATTTATCTACAATGTGGATATTTGCCCTTTTTGTTGATCTGAGATTGGCACATCATTGCACGAGTTCAAGCAGGAGTCTGATGTTATCCCTGTTTTCTTACAGCTGGTGCTTTGTGTGAGCCTAAACTCAGTCCCTTGACTGTAATACACAATTTCCTCCTCACATCACCACTTAGCTAACACAGACTTAGACTTATAAGATTCAATTCTTTTTGATTGCCTTATTTTTTTTCTTGAATATATTTCTGCACTGTCCATTGAGAACTGTTGGGGCAATAAGAATTATTTTGAATATCAGATTTAATGGAGACTCTTTTTCTCTGGGCAATATTTTGGTTTCGTAAGCTAGTCAATTAATGAAGAAAAGGTTGAGGATAGAGTTTGAATCAGTAATCGAAGAACTGTGTTTTACCTAAGGATGTGTCTTCATACCACTCTTCCAATTGCACCCTTCTAGTGCTAGAGGATCTTCAAGACTTAGTGCAAGAAGGAAATGTTTAAATAGGTCTTTAAATCAAAGAAGGGTTTGTGAACAGCAATCTGTTTCATTCTCCTGTCAGTGACATGCCTTTCCCTGTCAACAGTATACTTATCTTGCATATTTTATAATCAAAACACTACTAAAAGATAAGCATAAAATTATTTTTAAGTATCTGCTTGTTAACTTTACAGAATCAAAATAGGACTTTTCCAAATTTACTTCCAGAGAAATTAAGGGTCTAACAATAGAATGCTTTTTATTTTATTTCTCATTAGAGAATATAACACAGTTAAATCTTGAAGTGTTCTATATGTAAGTAACTGATATGTCCTTGAGCAGAAAAACGATGAAAAACCCCCAACTTTGAAATAAATCCACTTTTGGTAGTCACATCAAAGAGCATGAACAAAAAAAAAACCCAAATAGCTAATGTGTTTTCTTTATTTTTTTCAGATTTTTTAAAATGAGCTGTTTCATTTTTCTGTGGATAATGAAGCCTTGCTCTTTTAAAAGAGAAAGGATGTGTCAAGAGTTTCAGATGTCAAGTGGGAAGCGTTCATGTGTAGCACTGCAGTACAAGACTGAGCCAGAGAGCAGGAGCTGTATAACTGAAATGGAATGAACGAAGTAAAGTAACTCCAGTAAAGCCCTTATTTCTTTTTCACCTCTGTCTTTAAAGCTTGGTTTAAGGTAACAAAGCTTTGTGTCTCATCAGTCCCCTCATTGAAAGAAGAGTAATCAAGTTCAAGCAAAAATCTGGAGTTACCAATTTGAAAAATGCCATCCTGTCTACCCTTTCGGCTACTGTATTTCCATCTTTTTGCCATTTTTTAACATTTATTTTTACATTTCTTCCTCTTCAGTCATTCCCCTAATTGTATACCTCTGAAAATCTCTTCCTATTTTCCTTCTTCTTCCAGACCACCTACTTGTTCTGTGTACATATTGTGAATTTGTTCCTCATTCTCTACCTATTTTTCATTCTTCATTTATAGTATTTCCAGGGAAAATGAGCTTCCAGCTATGCATCTCTGCTTGCCCTCAGTCTGCTTCTGTTCAGCTCTGAGGAGGTGATGGCTGGAGGAAGCTTCATGTATGCAGCTTTTCCTCTCACGCTTCCTGCGGTTTCCCATGCCTGGTCATAGGTGAGGTGCTTTGCTTCCCTTGTGCCTTTAGGCGACTGAAAGGTTCAAACGGAGTCAATGAGCAGAGAGCCAGTGTTGTCTGTACCTCTCAGCCAGGATGGAAGATGCTCATGGAGGTGGCAGGCTGCTGCTGAGGGCCAAAGGGAGAGTGGATTGCCTCACTCCAGAGAGCTGGTCCGTGGCCAGCTTCTAGCTGGGAGCCTATTCCTATAACAGATAAGCAGAGGGGTTGTTTGGCAGGTGTTGATCTGGTGTCCAATAGAATATTTGCTCCTTAGTGTTTATGTCTGATTACTTTCAGTTTTGCCATGGCATTTATATCTAAGCCATGTCTTTTGGTCAAGAAGACCAAGTAGCATTCATTGCAAAGGGCAAAAAAACCTCTTGGACAGAATTCCTAAGTCTGCTGACTTGCTTCTAGTTGAATCCTGATTACCAGGCTGCTGGAGCCCCCTTAATGCTGAGTGTTATCTTGCAAGTCAGGACTTTGTTTAAACTCTGTTGGAATCAATAGAAAGACTCACTTGCACTGCAGCATGTGGTAATTGAACCTATGATAAACAAAGTTGCTTTTCAAATATATGACTGCTCTCTCTCTTCTCTGTCTATGCTTCCTTTTGTCCATTGTTTCCTACATCATTTTCCCCTTCTATCCTGGAAATAAAACTGCAGTAATCTGAAATGGGTACTTGACTATCTGTTGTCTGCATAGAAAAAAAAAAATGAGGTGCATGTCAGACATCACTCTGGGGTTACAGAAGTAATTGCTGCTTTTCAAATGAAAAGTTCTCAAAGCCCAGTAATCTTTTCCACATCAGGACTAAAACCTGCAAACACACTTCATGCAGAAATACCTACATACTTTTTTGTCATTTTTCTAAGTGCTTCCCCTGGGTGCCTTTTTCTCTCTTGCCAAAAATACTGTCATTCATATCCTTGAAGCACTTCAGCTTTTAAGATGAAAATATTGAAGAGTAAAAATAAATTTTTGAAGATTAATTTAGTGGGAGAATGGAGAGTGTTCATGCAGGTCTATGCATAAAGATAAGAACATGCTGTACCTCAGGCTTGCTGAAAACAGGCTTTTATTATATTTTTTTTTTCCTTAGGCAGATATTGAACTATGCCATTCTGTGTATAGTAGGCGAGGGAGAAAGAAACAGAAAGGTGAAGCTAATATTCAAATATTCTGCATGATCACAAGGGTAGTGTTTATCACGTCAAAGCAGAACTCAGATGTCTCTAGGTGATCTTCAAGTATTATCTCTTGTTATCAGTACAGCTGGTTGTTGAGAACCTGTATTAGTAAACATCCAATGTTGCATTAAAATAAAAGGCATCTTTGGCAGAAATTATAAGCAATTAAGCTGCAACAGTAAAAAATGTAGTTGTATATTTTATTGGTTTGAGTTATGTAATAGTCTTGAACTAAGACTGCAAGAGGGTGAGGATGAAATTAAATGAGTCATTGTTAAAAATAGGACGTGGGATTGAATTAAATGTTGAATGTGCTGGGCAGCTGAATAGAGGATGAAATTTGCAGTGAGAAATAGACAGTGTCTATTCTATATTAATGTTGATTACTACGTAAATACATAGTGACTAAGGACAAGAAAGGGACAAGACCATCTGACTGGTCCAGTGATAGGCATTTCCTCCCAGGCAGGGAAATGAGGCACAAGGCTTTTTAGTCTTTCTTTATATTGAATACCATGAGTAGCAAGTGGGGAACTGACTGTATAAGCCAAGCGGAAATAGCAAAAGTAAAAATCAGCTATTTTGATATATATATATATAAAATCATGAACTCAACTTGGTTTTACGTTATGTCTGGTTAGAATGGGATTTCTCTCATGGCTAAGGGGATGCAGTAATTCAGTTCATAGGGTGAGGAAAGAAGTGCTCACTTTTAATTATAAGGGTGGTAGAAATTATGACCTCTGGCTACTACTGCTTCAGCCAGCAGACTAGAAGGCTTCTAGCCTGATCCAGCTCACCAAATTTTAGGTTAAAGGCATTGAGCTTGAGCGGTGGTTCACCTACTTGTCACTGTCATTCATATGGCTTAAAAAATTCCTTGATGAGCATTTTTGCCAGAGCAGAGTAGCTGCTAGTACCTGGGTTGGATGAGTGAGCTTTAGATAAAAAGAATGATGCATTATGCTGCTGCTGTGTGGGCAACTAAGTCCTCAGTTTGGTTTAGATACTGTAGGGGAAAAAAAAATTACATTTCTCTAAGCTTATTTTCTATCCTAATTTTGGGGATGGGTGACATTAAAAAGCAACTTTTTTTAAAAACTAAAACAAACCAGCAGACGATGTGCTTGGTCACCGTGGAAACCAGGCTTTTGATGAAGAGGTTGTATATCTGGTAATACTTTGTACTGAGTTCTGATTACAACAAAAATCTACATTTTAAAAAATTCTTTCACATCCTCTTCTGCTCCACAATTTACTTTTTAGAAGATAGAAAGGGAAAAGCTGGAAAATATTTGCTTTTAAAGTACAGAAGAAATACTTATTTCAGCAAAATAGGAATCCATTTCGTTGAAACAAGGTTTTTATGTAAGGCTAGAACATGCAAATGGAAGTGATGGCAAAGGAATTCAAGACTTAACAACTCTTTGGACATGCATCAAGCTTAAAGGCCAATTGCTTCAAAGAATATGTCCAAAATTCTGTGAATAAGGCAGCATCTAAAACCAGTAATTGCAGAAATAATGCCTCTGCATTTGTAAACATCCAGACATCCAGCACAGTCTCAGGATCTCACTGAAGTTATTGATGCACACTGTGGGCTTAGTCCAGAATGACCATCTTGTATAACTCAGCAACCCTGAATTTTGTGCTGTGTTAGAAACTTTTATTGAAAATATATTATTGAAATTTTTCTGTTGAGCTCACATCTATGAATCAGGCAGTGAATATTTGAAAGCTGAACTAGAAGAACCAGTAATGACTGAATAAAAATGGTTTTACACAAAAATCTGGGGATTGACCGATGCAAGCTTCAGTAAAACAGCTTCTGAGACACTTCAGAATAACATTATAAGGTCATCTTCATAGGAGTGGGAAATTCTCGTTTAATGGACTTATGTATAGAGGAGACCTGATCCAGGTCTGAGATAGTTTCAGTGCATCTTTTCAGATGCAGCCATTATATTGTCCTAAGACTTGCAAGCAAGTGATAATGTTCTTGCATCATGAACACTGTTCATTCTTATTTTGAGCAACTTAACTGAATGCTAAAATAATAGTAAAATTAATGGTGAAAAAAATTAAATCTAAATGTTCATACACATAAATGTGATTGATAATACATTTTTCTTTAAATAAGGAATTTTTATTAACAACTGTTATTCCCTTACCAAAGTTTATTTAATGTCTATTTTAACTATTTATACTATAGTTTTAATACTATGCTTTTACTACTTTTAATATAAGGTTTTTTTAGTGTATTATTTCCTGGTCAGGTGGAAATATTTCTGATCAGAACTGTATCTACATTCACTATATCTTGTGGATGTTCAAAGTCTCATCTTCCTTCTTTAGCTGTGGAAAGTACTCCAAGATTTTGCCACGTTACTGTTTTGAAGTTGACAGGGTCTGTTGAGGTTCTGTAGAATGACTTGCCCCTATGACCTCTATCTAAAGAGTAATCAGACATGTTTTTACTTTTATTGGTAGAACCATTTTTTAGTGGAAGACTGTAGAACCTTGTTTCCTAATTCTTCAAAATATAGCATATATGGAGGAGAGTCTGGCTCAGAGAAAAAAAAGCCTCATTTTTTCTTTCAGGTATACTGTTTAAATTTTTCTTTGGCAACTGAGGAGATTTGGCATAGACTTGAAGGTCTTAGTAGAAGTTTTTTTTCTTAATATTGCTTTACATTGATTTAGATTTTGAAGAAACTTAGCAATGCACAACATTAAGCATGTCAGTGTCTAGAAATTGTTTGCATACTTGCAGTTAGTTAACTGCAATTAGTTGTAGTTTTGATATTTTGGTATTTCATTTAAATATATGATTATTCTTGAGCTTTATATGGCAAATAAATATTTGACTCTACAGATCCTGTGCATGGCTGTCTTTAAAAAACAAAAAAGCCCCTCCAGCTCTATATGCAATAGTATTTGTTTTGTTGCATATAAAACACTGATTTTTGTTAAATTCATACATTTTTTTGCAATCTATTCCTTGCTTTTACAAGGTAAAATAGCTCCTGCTTAATAAATCTAGGATTTTCTATGATGGTGACAAATATATTAGTTTAGTAAGCTGGGCTAATTTTCTATATTAATGTATCTTTATGCAGAGCACTTCTGGAAAAAATAAATGGTTAATCAGTGTAAATGTGTTAGTAAACCAGTCTGAAAATATTAATATCTGATTATTCACATTTACATTACTTTATGTTATTTAAATAGTTGTTTTGACATTTGTAACTGAATTAAAACATAGGCATATTTTTAAGGTCTAGACCTTTTAATCAGTCCTCTGTAAAGGCCCTGAATTTTCCAAGTGGAATAAGCTAATTAATCATAAATACTGGTGGGACCATGGTGGATGACCTAGCAAAATATTTTAGCTAATGTGTATTTTTTAGCATACAAGCAGTCTTTTTACTTTAGTGGCGCTTTCATGAGCCTTAGGTTTGATATTCAAATGTTTTGATCAATTAAGTCTCAAATGCTCAGGGTGGTTGATGCCACTCCAGGGACAGGATTTGGTTGTCTGTGCAGATGACCTAGGAGTGCACCTTTGCCAGTTGTAAGGAAACTTGCCAGTTGGAGTCTTCTGGGAGGTTTTCTTTATAAAAACTGCTTTGGCAGCTGAAGTAATGGAAGAATTTAGTCTTCATTGAAATAGAAACAAAATCCTTTTACTAATTCAACAACTTTTTACCAAGAGGTTGGACTTAACAGTCTCATGCATTTATTCTTGAGAAACATTGACATTCTGCAATGCTGCTGCAGCAGCACATGTATTTAAAAATCATCAAGTCTTCTGATGATTGACATCCTCTTTGAAGCTTCAGAAGGATTTTACCTCTTCATTTATTTTATAATAATTTTCAGCTGAGAAACTCTGTGGTTGACTCCACTGTGTGCGAAGGTAGGTGTGCTGAGAAAGTCTCTACTATGAGTACAAATTTCTCTGAACTCAGAGTCAAAGGGACACCTGGAAGGCTTCCTTTACAGGCCAGATCTGTCTCCTGTGTTTGTTTTTTTTTTCTGCAATGTGGTTGATCCCAGTGGAGGGGTGAAAGCAGACTGAAAATGGAAAGATTTGTAAGGTAAGCATGCAACAAATATTCCAGATGGTTTATTACTTATCAAAAAGTGAGATTGTCCTGAGGGGACTGAAAATACCTCAAAAGCTTGGAGAAATGTATTAGAGAGCATGATGGCACTCTGTGATCAGAGGGCCTGGAGGGCCAAGAGAGACATCACTCCTGCACTTTGATATTCTAGAGTCTGGGGATAAAACTTGGGAAATGGCAGCTCTACTTGTTAAGGAAAAAGCAGCCAGGAGTGGCTTTGCTGCTCGCTAAAAAGCAGAGAACAACAACAGAAGGTCAGGAAGCTGCCACTGAATGCAGATATGGGAGCTGGGAGGCTCTGCTTGGGCAGGAGGAAAGTGGTTTGATGCAGCAGCCCCTGGAATGCCCTAGGGCTTAGCTCTAGGGGAATGCAGCTGTCCCATTTCTTTCCCCCTGCAGCAAAAAAGGTGCTTCAGGAGTTTCAGGTGATAGCACTGGGAAGGTTGTGTCATCTTATAAAATAGGTTTTGGTCCTTTTGTCCTCCTCTCCAACTTTGTCATCAGAAACAAGCTTTTGGCTCTGACAGAATAAAATTGTACTGCTTTCACCTTTTCAATCTCATTATTAAATATGAATCCCAGTGAAGCTGGCAAACTTAATGTCTATTGCCCCTCCAGTTACAGTCAGTATGTATAGGCAGCCACTTGGGAGGTAAAAAGGACGCCTTCTGCCAAGCTGCAAGGACAGTGTAAGGACTGGTGTCATGAGAGGCCAAGTTACAGGGAGAAATCTTCCTGTCTGGAAGACATTAGTGTGTCCTCATAGGCAGAGGTTGTGGAAAACCAGCTCAAATCTTTCTTGGGTGCCTCATGTCGTGTTTGAAGAGGGTGGTGTGGAAGCTGTAGTTGCTTTGCTTCCATGCTGGTCTGTTGAGAGGATTTGATTTTTGCGCTGAGGATTCACTTATGCTGTTCTGGCACAGCCACTGGGATCTCGTCAGTGGGGTTTGTGGCTTGCAGCCCCTTTCCCCTCGGGAATGTGCTGCTGCCTCAGCAGAGCAGCCATGGGGGCAGGCATGGCAAGAGGGACTGTGCAGGAAAAGGAGCAGCAGTGCTGTTTCAGGTGATCTGAGCCTGGCACTGCTATGATGAAAGCTGCAGGCTGACCCATGGCAGTCTCCTTCAGCTCACTCCCCCAGCTGCTCAGACAGAGATGACAAAAGCACACTGTTTGACGCAGGCACATGCAAGGGGCAGAAAGCCCAGCTCAGCCAAAGAGCAGAACATGGAGACTGGGCTCCGCCCGTGCTGCTCATGGTGGCAGTCTCCCAGTCACCTTCCTCACCAATCTGACTTGATGATGGCGAGTTGTTCTGTCATTGCTTTGGTCAGATCCCTGCTGGGACAAGAAAACAGAGGTGCTTCATCTAGTCAGGAATTTTTCACCTGATCTAGCTCTCCAAAGGGAAACCAAGGGTAAATTGGAAGATACAGGGGAGCAAAACCCATCTCACTTTCTTGCAGTCCATTCTATAGTGGCAGCAGTCAGGATAGCCTGACTCCCACATTGTCCTGGGGACATATGAAATCATAAATGTAAGTTGTTTTCCTGATTGTAACTGTACACTAAGTTTTACTCCCTGTAAACTTACCAATTTTTTTTCTGAGTCTATGGCTATGAGATTAATGGTTCTGCTGCATTATGGAAATTTAACAAAATCTTCCTTTCTGAGCCCCAGGCAACACAAAGTGACAGAAATGTGAGGAAGGAAGGTGAAAGGAAAGAAGAAAAGAGCTTTATAGCAAAAGTTGATATTAATCATTTATGTTTCTCATGTCATAGATTATTTCAGCCAATTGATGAGCCTCGTTTGGAGTTCCATATGCGTAGGTGAAAAATTATCTTTTTTCTACCTCTTGCTCTACAGCTGCTTCTGGTGATCATATTTTCTTAAGTCACTTTCTTCCTGATGGTCTTTGTTTAGTGTGGAAATGGCGATTAATCTGAATAACAAAACCATTCCTTCTTTCAGGGTCACAATAGCACTCAAATAGCTCTTGTATAGAAAAATGAGAGGTGAAACAAAGGAACATTTGAAGATTGCTGCTCTGAATCTGTCTCTAGGAAGCGTGGAGCATGTCAAAAATCAATATGGAGAATTTTTTATTTTAAAGAGCCTTTCTCAGGTGACGACAGGAAAAGGGAACCAGAGTGTGGCTGCACACAAAACCTACTGCTGCTTTCAGGAGTGTCTTCAAATAGTGTTTTACTTCAGATGATAGTAATATTTAAATTGAAAAAACATAATAATAAATGGAAGTTAATATTTCCATGTGTTCACTGGTCATTCATCATTCTTTGGTAGTACTGGGGAGGCTAGGAGTGTACCACAATAAGCAAGTAGTGTTTGTTTGGTTTGTATTTCTATCTTCTCTTGCCTATTTGCCTCTTGTACTTTGCACAGGACATTCCCCCCACAGTGTGCATGGGGAGCTGCAGATGGAGTGTTGTGATGTATCATTAGTGCCAGCTGGACACTGCTGCTTGCATGATGCTTTAACAGCAGAGTAATCAGCACCTAAGTCAGCAGACTTTCCACCCAGTCGTAGTTTCATGTCATAGCAGCAGTTGCCAAATCTCTAAGTAACACAACAGCTTTTTCCACCAGATATATTCAAGTCCCTTGAATCTTCTTTCCTTGCATATCATTTATGGGGGTCCCAGGCAACTCTCGCTTAAGACTTAAGCAATGTTAGTTCCAGATATCAATAGAAATTCTTTGTAGGCCCTTACAGGAACAGTCTTGTTGGGTTACATGTGGATTTTCTTAATGAATCTTTCTGTTGAACTGTGTAGGACTTGGTGCTTTTTCTGTCTTCCAGGGCTGGCACAACAATGTATAAGTGTCTTCCATTTTGCCAGCAAGCACTTTTTCCTTTTCTTCACTACAAAGGAGAAAGCACTCCAGAGTGGGTGAAATATTTTTACATTAAATATAACAGCAGTTACAATGAAAATAATAAGAAAATTGTAAATTATAAGTGCTCCACTAGAAGGGATTTGGATGTGTGTGTATGTAGAAGAGAAATGGGAATAAAACAGTGAATGCAGATCAAACCTAGTGAATGGTATTATTCAAGAAAAACTGTTGCAATGTCAGTGCCTTTTTGCTCCTCATGCTTTCAGACTGAGGTGTTCCACTTGGGAAATACTGATATTTCCCAAAGTTTTGGTTTTTTGGTTCTTTTCCCCCCTAGATTAAAATTTAGACATGTGGCAGATATCCTTGCTAGACTAGTCCTGTGTGTCAAGCAGCAGATCTGTGGTTATATGCAGGAGTTATTGTACTGTACCTTTGGCTTCTAGGTGTCCTGAGGTTACTAATTTCCCACTGAGCTTCCAATATAGGTGTTGGAAGAGCACAGTGTTACACTACAGAGAGACCACTAGTCTCTCATACAAAAATATATTTTGAAAATTTGAAAAACAGTTTTGAAATTGAATTGTTTTAATTTTTTTCACAATCAAAAAAAAAAAAAAAAGGAAATGCATCTAAATTAACAGGGAAGAGAGGAAATCAATACAAGGGTTTAATAAAGCAAGAATTAAATAAAGCACTTCTGTTTGCTTCAGTCAAGATAGCTTACACTGTCCCATAAAGATTGTTCACTTAACTAAACCAGAAGAATCTGTAAACATATTGCAGAAAACTCTTGTCTTGTTATCCTCACTGTAACTCACTCTATAAAAAACTCTATTCAGTTTACCTGCCAAGCTGAAGAAATTGTGCTGACATTTTTAGGCTCATTCTACACTGGAGAACCAACAGTGGTCTAAAAATATTGTATATATTAGTTCACAGGTTTTATGTATCACCACAGTATAGGCATAGTAATCATGTATCATAGTATCAAAATACAAAGTCTGTCACAAGTAGATACTAATTTTATTGCATTTTGTCCATTGCATTAGGTCTTAAGTGCCATGTGGTAAGATTAATTCCTTGGTGGGAGCCCAGTTCTTTTGAGCTCCTTTTATAAGGCATTTTACAGGGGGATGCAAGCTGTTATTAAAAGGTTGTTTTGAATTACTGTTGTCAGTGACTGGCAGTATTTATGAATGTGTCCTGAAGAGATTCATTTGCAAGTATAGTTTAAGTTATGTACACTACTTAAGGATTCCTATTTTCATTTCCTTTTGCTTTTTGGTATTGTAGCGATCCAACAGGATTATTAATGGTGACATTTCTAGAATTTCTTTTTCTTACATTAAAAATCCATGAAAACCTGGAAAGCTCAAATAAATAATCAATTTTATGGTTATTTTGTTTTTTGTTTCATACACAACATTTTAATGGTTGAATGCCTGAAAATGGTTTTTGCTTCTGAATGAGCTGGAATACTGAACCAGCTAATTAGGTAGAAAGTTAATTTAAAAAATAACTTTCTGAAAGATCACTTAATAATCCCATTGTTATTTGTAAGATGCATTTAAAATTTTTCTGTAAAAGAGAAACTCCTTTAAACTTCAATAAAGGAAACTAAGATATGGGAAACTCACCCCAGCCTTGGTAGGTGTGGTGGTATTTAAAAGGTCAGCATCACATGGAGTCACTTTCAGAGTCTGCTCAGCCAACTTTTGAAACTTCTCTCTGTGCTGGGAGAAAGAACCCAGTATAAAAATCTCTTATTTTCTTGACTCTACCTGAAACACCTGTTGAAGGAATTTGGGCTCTTTGAATATTATGTGCATATGTGTGTATATTCACCAGTGGATATTATTATTTGGTGGTTATCACTAACAGTTTTGCTGCTGTTTGTTTCTACTTGAGCAATTCCCTTGGTTGATTTTTCTTGCAGTTTGGTGGGCTGTTTTAGAGTTGTAGAGTAATTTAGGTTAGAAGGCATCTTGAAATCATCTTGTCCAGCTCCTGTATCAGGAACAGTTTAATTCAGTCTAGATTTTTATTGTTTCAAAAGAGATTAATTCCTACTCTTTAATAAGGGAATGGTAAACCTCAAATCAGAAGTTAATAAAACTCTTTGTCTCTTCACAGAGATCATGCATTTTTAATTATTATGTTTTATTTTAAATTATTCTTTATTTAAACATCTTAAGGGTCAGCAGTGAGCATGTCAAGTGTTTAAATGCTCAGCAACACTCTCTACTATTGTAAGCTCTCAAATGTTTGTCACATGCATGTGTCACTTTGGGGTGTCTGACCCTAAAGGCCTTTCAAATCTCAGTGGCCTATTCATGACATCTAACGCTCTCCCCTATATCCCTGTGCTACATTCTTAATGTTTTGTTTGTAAATACTCTCATGATCTAGTATACAAGTTGTATTAGAAGTAGGTCTGGATGCAGCTATGAAACAGTGTCACTGAACCAGCAGTACACCTGGATACAGGGCACAAATTACCAGGGATGCTCTACTGGGGCTGCTGTGATCATTTACCTGTGCTGGGTCCTTCCTCTCTGCTTCAGCATTAACTTCAGGTCATGTTTTACTTCCAAGAAGTTGGGGGATTAATATATGGTTACCTGCAATTTGGCTACAGGTCTGACACAGCTCTAGGACACCTGCTTTAGGAGTGGGTGGAAAGCCCTTATAGGTGTCTGGGGCCTGTCCCTGCAAGGTGGCCTCCTGCTTTCCAGATCTCATCTTTCCCCTTATTCCTCCCAGGACCTCAGTATCGCAGCCTCTCCATCCTGTGTGACCTGATGTAACCTGCCTGTCTCCTTGCAGGTTAGAAAAGTCCTACCAGCTCCTCTCTAGTTTACAGTCTGAAAGGGATCTGCATGATCCATATATGAAGAATATATATATATATATATATATATATATATATATATAAACTTTTCTTACTTGCTTTGTTAAAGGCTTGTTGTTATTTCTGAATCTTCACCAACTTCTTTATCTCACCATCTTCTACTGCTGGTAGTTCAGTGCTTAAAAACTTTCACAAAGGTAGTTTTCTTTGGGCTATCATAAAATTTGTCTAGCTGTTATTAGTTTAATTTACTTAGTTAAGGGAATAGCTAGATATAAAAAGAATATTCTGTACCATTAACTTACAATCTGTTAAGAGTGCTTTAACTGCTTCATATGTTATAACACTTGTTTCTCTTAAGGGTGCATGGTACAAAATATAGTTAATATGGAGTTATGAATTTAATCATTGAATATTTAATTTTTTTTTCCTTTTTTGAAGAGCAACTTTAAATAAAAACTTCCATATGTTGGTCTATGTGTGTTTAGAGCTTATACCTACAGGCTTGGGCTGCAGACAGAAATTGATTTGTTAGAGCCCCCTTGAAGTTGCTTTAACAAAACCTGTTCTTTATGCTTTAAGAAATACTACCTGTCTATAATTTTCTTGCTTAATTTATGGAAAGTCTTATTGTGAGGTCCTGAGTTGAAGACAAATGATATTGTAGATGCTGGTACTGGTGCTCTTGGTATGATTTGTGTCACTCAGCTACCTCTGTATGGCATTGATTTTACTGTCCCTTTACAAAGGAGGAGAAAAGGTGGGGAGAACATTCTCACTTTCTCTTTGTTCCTAAATTGTAGAATATTGAGGTGTTTTGATGTGTATCTCTTTGGTTTTTAGGTTTTTTTTTGTTTGACAAAAGTGGGTACATACGTCACATGTGGGTACATGGACAGCCACAATGAAGCTATTTTCTCATATAAGACATTCAGGAAAATTCTCCATAAGTGAAACAATCCCTAAATAACATCTTGCTACTATTTCCTAGATAAATTCCTTTTAGATAAAGTCTTTGGAATGCAGACAGGGCCATTACTGATTTTTCAGCCAAAAGATGGCTAAGAGATATTGGTTTGGGGAGTTTTTTTGAGGTTTTGGGGGTTTCTTATTAACAGCTTTTCTGCCAGGGGGTTTGACTTTATCACCGAAAAGCTTGTTTGTTGTTTGGTTTTTGTTTTTTTCCATTTTTAAAAAAAATTGTTACAGCAAAGGTCTTAGAAGCTCTCTTACCAGAATGAAAGATGCCTCAGTGAGCAGCAGCCATTTCTCTCCACGCAGTCTTGTCAGTCCTGTACTGCTTCCCACCTGCATTAGATTTAAACTTACACTGCTGAAATGGAAGTCTCTCTAGATGATTACTTATTCTCTTTTCCTCTATCTTGATGTTTTTAGTGCTTTAGAAATGGCTATATGGATTTTTTTTAATTATTAATGGTCATTTTGATTTTGCTGAACTAATATATTTTTATTGAAGTCCATCATACTTTTTAGCTTCCTTTCCATATGTATGTGTTGTTCAGAACCTCCCTTACGCAATTTCAAATGATTCAGCAGCAACATGAGCAAAAGCTTGTGGACCACCCACTTTTCTTGAAAAAGAGAGTGATAAAATTTCTACTTGAATTGACATTGATAATTCCTGTTTCATGGCTAAGAGATTTGAAAAATAAAGTCAATTTTTTATAATTATGATTTTTTATTTATCTGGAAGTCATTTAAGAAAATTCTATGTTTTCCAAGGAAATAATATTTTAAAGAATGAAGTCTTAACAATAAAATGATATTTTCATAACTGTAAGATAAAAAGGATAAAACAGAAAAAAAAATCGCTGTATTGACAGCCATGAATATTACTGCATGTTAATTCACTAGAAAATAAATAAGGTTTCTCTTATAACTGGAAATAACAGTATATTAGGAGTTGATCTTTAACTCAAAATGTGTTGGCCTTTTAGAGTTCTGATGGAGAAAAGCAGAATTTTCCATGACAATGTTAAAAGGAGAAATATTAAATAAATATTTCTGTTCTGTATTTAAAGGGAAAACTGATATCATAACCTCAAGCACTTCAATTTGATGCATAATAAAAATAGAAAATTCAGAAAGTTGAAGGATGTTCAAGTTGAGCAGTACCAAGAGCTGATTTTCCTAAGTTACTTTCAGGCAAGATTAAGTTTGCAGAAAGTTGTTGCTCTCATAACCCTCCTCAACACCAGGCACGGGATCTGGGCTTGGGAACACTCACAGGTGCCAAGTAATACTCCTTCTGTTAGCATTGCAGTCTGTTTTGAAAGCTTACTGTAGAGTTTAAATGTGTTTTCTTCTGCTGCTTCCTTATTATGTCATGTCCACTCCTATACTGGCTATATTTTTATTTTTGGTTACCTATATATGTGTTATTATCTCTATATATCTTAGTACATTAGTTGGAAATGGTAATTGCCCTCCTTTGTCATTTACTCTTTTTATCTGCCTTCACCTGTACTTACTCCCTCTTGAGCAGATCTCATGTTTTTTGGGCTAATTATGTTTTATGAAAAGAGAGGAATAAATATCATGCCTGTCCTGTTGACAGGATGAAATCAGCTAATTAAAACCTAAATAAAATGTAAGAAAGTAATGGGTCTTCCAATGTCCTGTCATTGTAGGGGAAAATTTTTTATTAAAAAAAGCTAAAACCAAACCAAAACAAAAGAGAAAAAAAAAAAAAAGAAAAAGAAAACATACAGAAAGGTAATATCTTCCGACCAATATGGGATGACAGCCTGGTGTTCTGCTGTTATTGCTACTGGAATTCGTATGCTCTTGCACTATATTTATACTTTCAAAAATTTTGGAACAGATTAGCTGTATTAAATTGGCCTTTATATTTTTAGTCTACTTCAAGATGTAGAAGCTGTGATTTACTTTTTTTTTTTTTTTTAATATTGTTGTTGTTAGGCGTCCTCTTTCCCTGATGGGCTTATGTTGTTACCTGGTGTGATCTACAAGTACCTGATACTGATCAAGTAATACGGGTGCCACTGCTGTGAATGCTTTGATGTCTGTTTTCCCCATGCTCCCCCCTTACACCACATGGCCTTTTCATCTTTTGAAATGTGAATATCAGATGTATGATATTCATAATTACTTTGTGATACAGCAAAAATTCAGGACTGACTGTTCTAAAAATGTTTTGAAAAGGTAGGCATCTAACTTTTGCTACTGGCAGAGTGTCAACTGTAAGTAAACACAAATTTCCATGCTGTGTTTAGGTTTCCTCCACTATGGACTGCATTGTGAGCTGGATCAGAATAATTTCTTCCTCATAGTCAAATGCAGTCACTTGTATCTTAGGATCGGGACTATTCCTTGAAAATTACAATGCTTGGCAGCTTTAAATCTGACTGTATCACTTTACTGTTGATTCAGTTCAATGGTTTAAATACTATGGGAATATTTCTCCCCAGATCCTGGATATCATTACTAAAAATTAAGTTGAGGTCTGTCTTTTTTTTTTTTTTTTTTTTTTTTAATATTTTTTGGCATCAAATAGTATGGTAGAAAGCAGGAAAACATTTAATCTAGTTTTCATTTCGACAGGCGCAGGGAGAGTAACTTCGTGTAGTTTCTGTGGATTTGATGGTGTGTGGGGTCTGTGATGTCATGTCAAAACCAGCACTGGCTCGGACCAGGCCATTCACAACAATGGGACAACGCTGTAAAATCTCTTACAGACTTCTTTTTCCTTCAAAAAGATACCTTTGAAGAGGAAGCGAGGATTAATATATGTTTTATATAGGCAAGCTACCGGGTAATAACATTACAAGGTGGATGACGCTGATATCCAAACCTCCAAACTTTTCCTGCCAGTGTAGGACTGCGGGGACGCGCTAACAGCCTGCCAGAGCAGCAGGCAGAGAAGCCGGTGCCTTTCCGAGCGCCGCAGCTCGGAGGAGCAGGCACAGCGCTGGAGGCGCTCCGTCCGCCCGTGCGTGCGGAAATCCCCGCGGGGCTGCGGGGCCCCGCAGCGATCCCGGGCGGGGCAGCACCGCGCCGGCGGCTGTCGCGTCGGGCTGCCCTGCCTTGGACAGCTGCCACGCTGCCACCCCTCAGGTCCTCTGATTGGGTGCTCCCAGCGACCGATCGCAAATGCTGATGCCGCTTCTGCGATCCTTTCCACTCGGAGGAGAAATCTCTTATCCCCACCCCCAAGCCCACCTCTAGGATGTAAGTAATGGTGAGAAGATGAGGATGGAAACAGCGCGGTGTGAGTGACTGGAAATACAGCAGCCTGGTTTAGCTGCAGTGTTATGTAGGAGTCGTCTTCAGACTTCTTACCTTTGGTTTTTCGGCACAAACTGCTTGCAGGTTTTCGAAGGCTGTGAAAGGACTTACCGTTTGTGTGGTAGTGTTTTCTGTCTATCGTCATATTACCTTGCTTTTCCCCTGGACAGCTGTGTTCAGAGCTACATGTGGGAATCTTTCTACTGAAGAGAGATAAAAAGGATCCGTAATCTGATTCTCTTTCGATCTTTCTATTTTTATGGTAAGTGCCAGCATATATTGGCTGAGCGTAGCTTCTTTGCTGCAGTGCTCGTGCTCTCCCTCTCTCCCTCCCCCTTCCCCATCTGTTTTTCTCCCCCTATAGTCTTAGATAAGCCTCGTGACCTTCACTTAATATCTCGTCATAATTTTCAGCATCTTCGTAGCAGATACCGGCTAAGTCAAATACAAGTTTTCTCTTTATTTTGCTCTTTCCCTCCTCTGACCCGGAGCTCTGAAGTATTGACTGCGAGCCGAGTAGTGCCTCTTTGTCCTTGAAACGGGAGGCTTGAGCATTGCTCCCGATCGCCTGTGGCACCAACGGGATACGCTTCTGGGGAACTGGAATAGAGACTGGGTAAAGGTGACTGGCTCGTTTCTCTAGGTCTGTACCCTTGCACTGAGGGCACAGATATCCCCTGCTTGAGCAGCCACCTAGAAAACTCTGAGGCCCCTCAGTGTCCAAATGTGAGCATGTGGTTTGAGCCGGGGTGTGCTGTCGTTGGCATGGGAC